GGCTTTGTAGAAAAAGGGGAAGTCTTTTGTAGGCTTTACTGGGCTACCAGCAGTCAGGTGTGCACCATGGAAGTTGACAGTGCCTTTCCCAACAATGCCAGCTCTCAGATGTCAGTCAGCAAATGCATGCATAGGAAATGCCCACCCAGGGGCTTAGATACTGTTTTTCAAAATGTATCCAAAACTCTTTTATCATCTCTTGACTAATGGAATAATGTGTTCAGTGGCGGAAATATCATTATAGCTTGGGGAATTAAAATTTTAGTTTGACTTCAATGTAGTAAGAATATTTCTTTATATTTAAAAAAGCCCCCATGTTCTTTGATTTCGGGAACTCTAGGATTGTCTCTTTCTTTACAAACAAAAACATATGCCATCAGAATAACATCAAATATACTATAATTACATAAAACACACATAGCAGGTTTAAACATTTAACTTACTGTAGAAACTTGCAAGGCAGTGCAGGGTTGGATACTTCACAGTATATTTTATGTCCCTACGTGGATGATCTGGTTTATATATGTGGTACAGTAAGCAACAGGTATTAGTCATGTCCCTACTTGATTGTATTTACTGTGTGTAGTAAAAATAATATATATATATATAAAATAAATAAATAAAACAGTGTATCATGCTATGTTTTTCATTATGTTTTGTTTTACATTTCATAAACCATAAGCACAGCAGCACAACTGCTTTTAAAGACCTTTATTAACATGCCATTATAATAAGAAAGAAAAGCGCAATCATTCTTATTAAATTATAATTGTCATTAATCAAGGTTTATTATTTATTTTTATATTTTGATGGGCTGTAAATTGTATTAATCATAAACTCACATTTCCACCGTAGATCTAAGCTTAAGCTAATTAGAGTAGAGTTGTGTTCAGTTGCATTGAAGAGGTAATTTATCACGATGAAAAGCAGTGCAATAGTAATAATAATAATAATAATAATAATAATAATATGTAATTTGCATTTTGGCTGGAGAGTAAAATGTCTTGTGATGCTAGGCACTCACTCTTAGCACCATCATCCATCTTTGAGTATTTGAAAATGCCAGCAGGTGGGCGGGGGGGTTGATCCAAAACAGAGTGTGGACTGGAGAGTAAGCTCTGAAAGCCAAAAACCTCAACACTTGGCAAGTTATCTTTGAGTCATTAGTAATGCTCAACAAATCCCCACAAGTATATTATGGTAATCTTCTGCTTTGGTGCACTGAAAATCTTACTTATTATATCATTAACTGTTTCACCAGCTTCTAGTTTGTTTTCTATGTTTTTTTTACATTATAAATACTTTATGTGAAGCTCAAAGAGGTCTCAGGTGTCTTCTCACAGGGACTGAAGAGTTAACATGGGAGCTTGAAAAGAGAGCGACAGGGAGTAAATTTACTGATTATCAACAAACTGGATTTATAACCAGGTCTGTGTTTCTCAAAGCCCACCTTAAAACCAATATATGGATCTCTCTCAGAGACGATTAGGCTTCTCCTGCGCTATCTCTCCTTCCACCCCCATGAAAACAGTCACAGGAGGGACGACCATCCCATATTCTTTAGGGGCTTTGAAGTATTTTCATTTACAGCGCATATCACGACACAGAGAACCACGTTTTGTTGCCTAGTTACAAGATTTTTCAGCCTCCTTACTTTAAAGATTGCCTCAGCCATATGAGTTCACACGAGCCGAATCCAAAGGTTTGTGATGAAATGGACATGCCGCTAAAGGCTAAACACTCAAGGTAACGCATGCACAAACGCACTTCCTGCATGAACAGGTTGATTATGCAAACACACACAGAACCAAAACCAAAGAACCGTTGAGTGGTCAAAAGCAAAAAACATCCAAGACAATGGGGTGAGGGAGTATTGTGTAACACTGATGTAATTCTTTGGGGTCAGGTCTGATCATATTTTCATATCATCATATCTTTGTTTTTATACTTTCTGTCTCTTTTTAACTTTCTCTGCTTGGCTCAGTCGCACACTGGTATCAAATATTCACGTATGCCACACACTGGTATCAAATATACACGTATGCATACAAACACACACACACACACACACTCACACACAAAGACTTAAAGAAGGAAAAGGCCACCTGCCGGAGAATAACAACAGACCTGTGTAGCCTAGCAACAGCTCAGAGACAGGCTTATTAGCTGGAAGAAGAGAGAAGAATGCAAGAGGGAAAACTTTGGCCTATGTCTCTACCTCTCACGCACTTACACAAGCTGAAGGGCACACAGGCTCAAATGCACAAGCCTCATTCCCGCCAACCCTCCTCCCTCTCACATCCCTTCAAACGTGCCTTGTTTCTGACAATCCTACACTTGCAACAGACCATCGATCAGGCTGCTAAACCAAACAATTTGGCCACTCACTTCTTTTTCTCCTTCTGCCAAGAGTGGAACATTTTTAATTGTCAATTTGTTGCTCTGTTTTTGTTTTGTTTTTTTGTTAGTTTGAGTGCTGTGGCACCCAACTGCCAGCCTATGCCAACTCACCAGCACAATAAAAAGAGCTTCACTTAATTGCTCTCTCTTAGAGGCAGTATCTGATATCTTGGATTTGATTACTGAGACAGAAGAGGTTTAAATCAATGCTAAAAAAATGGTTAGTGCGGCTGAGTGAATGGCTGGGAGAATAAAACACTCAGAATTCAGAACGTGGGCACATATGGGACCTTGGTTATACCTGAGTGGCCTTGGGTTTTTTCTTTTTAAAAAGAAACTCAATGATTACTATCACCAATTCACAGCACATTCTCATTTATACTCCCACCCTTGATAAAAAGCTCTTAAGCTTCTCCTTATCAGATTTTTTTCCCCCAGACTCTATCTTTTCTCTCTTTCCTGTAAAACTTTAATAGCAGAATATTTAGGTTATGGTCAGCGCCTGAACACGAACAGGTAGGCGCATGTGATCAGAACCTCCGTGTGTGAGTGCGAGAGAGAGAGAAACAAAGACAGAGAGAAAGATTTTAAAATGTGTCAGTGTCTGAAATAGTTCTCATAACTTTTTCACACTCTCTATAAACATTTACTTGCATCTCTGCATCAGCTGTTTTGCTGCCAAACATAAAACTTTTATAATGTCTCTCTCCATCACCATCATGCATTTTACAGTCTCTCTCTATCTCCCTCTCTCTCTCTCATACTCAGGTTGGCCTCCTTGCATCTCATTTCTCAGGTGACACCAAGAGACCCCCATATTGCCACTTCCACCCAGGGGGAATGTGCATTGCAGCCTTAGTAATTATCCTGCTGGATTGGAAGTGCTGAGGCCAAAGGGGCAAACCTCAGAGTGCAGTAAGCCTTGCTGTCACCGTCACCATCGCACATGGTAAAGGAAAGTGCAACCCAAATTTAAATAGGTCACAGACGGAAAGGGCAGGGTGAGGAGAGATTGAGAAAGAGGAAAAGATGGATGTAAAAATATGGTGTTCTGCTTTTACATGGAGTGAAGAAAATATTCTGTTTTGTTGACACTTAAAAGTCCCCACTGAATCAGGACAAAAACCCTGAAATAAAGCCTGAAAGAACAGCATTGTCTGTTCAAGGTTTTTGGATGCTTAGTAAAAGTAAAAGAATAGTTCTGAAAATGCTTGTTTACTTTCTTGCTGCAAGTGAGATGTGAAGGTCGAAACCGCTTTCATGTCTCTATGCTCAACATTTAGCTTAGCTTAGCATAAAGACTGGAAACAGGGGGGAACAGCTAGCCAGGTTCTGTCCAAAGGTTAAATAAAATTAAGTAATTAACAAGTTATATCTCATTTGTTAATCGCTATGAGAGTGGTAGCAAATTTCTCTTCTAACTCTAAGAAAACAAAATGTTCAACTATTCCTTTTAAAGTCTGGCTTTTCAATGAGAGCTCAATTATTGAGTGTGCCTGAAAGCACACTATCTATTATTCCCAATACTTATTATTATTCTTCCGTGTCGTTTTTCGGTCGACTACTCCTCCCGCAGTTTTGGTCGCACATACACAAAAAAGGTATCAAAACGTGCGGGCTCGACTGGGACATTAGTGCTATGACTTTTCTAAGCGTTTAGCAAACTGTTTGCCGATAAATGCCAAAAACCAGGCCAAAAAAATAATGAATGGGTGTGTATTGGACTTCTATAGGTAATGGTGTTCACTCAACACCAAACTAGACTGGACAATGAGCCACCCCCTGCACGGTGACCTGACAGAACTTAAGAGCAGTTTCAGTGACAGACTGTTCACCCTCGATGTGTGAAGGAAAGATACAGAAGGTCTTTCTTCCTGCTGCTTGTTAGGCTCCACAATGAACACTCTTAATATGTGCAAAAGTATTACAAAAACTTCAAAACACCAGTTTGACACCAGTATGTGCAATGCTATTCTTTTTTCATTATTTATCTCTATAAGCTACTCTTTGCTCTTATTTTTTATTCTGCTCGTTATTTTTTATTCTGTCCTTTTTCTGTATGCTGTTGCGAAACTGCAATTTCCCATTGTGGGACAAATAAAGGTTTTTTATCTTATCGGTAGAATGTTCACAGATAGAGTGCGTGACATCATTCCTAGAGTGTAGAGAGAGAACAAATTTTTCGAAAATAAATTGTAAACTGCTCCCAAGCCACAAATGTCACTCTACAGAAATCATTTATAGATAGACGTAGGTAAATCCGTTGGGGTCGCGGGAGATATACTGCTGAAGTTGTCAGACTAATAGGTTGGCGGGAAACGCACTGCGCGCCAGACACCCTCTCACGCCCCCATCTACTCCAATTTTAATTGAGAGGAGAAATTTTGAAAAGAGCTCGTTGAACCTGTCTTCTCAAACTCCCGAGGTCACTTTTTAACTTTAGCCAATGAAACTCGGCCAGTCCTGTGTCACAAGAGACGATGCTCATGGTCTTTCGGTTTCATTTCGGGTCTTTCCTGGCCAATGGTTCGAGGGGGATTCACTTTGACATTTTTGTCTCTCAGGACACAGAGCAATCACACATCTGCGCTTAACTGCAATTAACTGCTGTGGCCTGGACGGTTGCGAATACCAAAGCCTGACTGTGAACACCCACACACACCCACACCCACACCCACACACCCACACCCACACACAGGATGACAAGGTATTAATACGCTAGTGCTAGCTTGCTAGCTAGCTAGAGGGGACAAAGGATTATTGTGCTGATTAAACCTCACAAAAAACACTACTTAAATTCTTAATTAGCCATCTATTTCAACATGATACAGATGACACAAGAAAGTCACGGGACAGAGTCAGGCACACTCAAAATTCTAGTCTAATTTTCACTGGATTATCTAAATCTTACTTGCACATTCAACCTTAATGTTAAGCAGTTTATTTGCAAGTGTAATTTTAGTATTGTTGTATTATGGTTTACTGTATATTGTATGTACAAGAATCATTTTTGTTTTGTACTTGGTGTTGGTGCCCATGAATGCAACTGGGATAATAAAATGATTGAAATAAACTGAAAAGTAATTCATGAGTGAAGTCTGGTGGAATGGGGGAACGTTAACAACCCTGCATGTTGAGTGTCACCGCATCCACACACGAAACTCAGATCCATATACAGCAGAGTGCGTGTCATCAGTCAGTTGTTGAGCTGGTTCCAGAGGTGCTCGAGAAAATGTTCCTGAAGGTATGAGTCAAGGAGGAGTGAAACAAATAAGGAGATGCAAGCCGAGGTTTGGTTTCCTAGGCGAATATCATGATTCACTTTTATTAAAAGCATCATAGCTACAATTCATCATACATGATGTCTCCAAAAAACAAAACAAAACGACAAACACCAAAAAAAAAGAGGAAAAAAAAAACATTTACATGGTATGTCTGTAAACTTCAAGGCTAGATAAGAATTTTGAGGTAATGCTCTTCAGCTTGCTGGCTAAAAGTAACAAAAAGTCCATTTTTTCAAGAAAAAGTAGCTAAGTAATAAAGGTACCTGATTATTTTAACTCTTTAACACCAGTGCATCAACAGGAACAGAGTGAGACAAAATTGATTGCAGTAATTATTTGTCATCATTTACAGTTTTAGTTTTGTTTTTCTATTCATACGACACTTGTGGTTATTCATATAGTGTGTGTGTTTGTGTGTGTTTGTGTTGGGAGAGTGATGTTGGAACATTCAAAAGCTGCCTTGGTTATTGCTGTCTCAGCGCTAGAGAGGAGAACGCAGGTCTTTGACGGGGAGGGGGCGTCTTCCAGGGAGCCCAAACTGACCCTCCTGCTCCGTCCCAGTTCGCTCTCTCTGCATCTGCTGGGCTGCTGTGATAGCAAATGTTAATAAGACCTGGCCACAGTGCGTGTTTGAATGTACTTTCAAATATTTGAACCACTCACTAACCACACACTAACTGGCCTCGGAAATGGAAACAATTCAAGCACCGCTCGCGCTTTCCAAGTATTTAAAACCTAACTCAGCGACCAGAGTTGAACTTCATATAGAAAACTTGTGAATTTCCAACCCTGTTGAAAATGTGTCTCAGTCCTGTTTTGGCCAGGCCTGGTGTCAGTGTGTGTGACTAGAGAAACAGTCTTTAAAGAGAAGGTCACTAGGGAGCAGCACTTGGTCTGAAACTACCGGGATATGAGGGAAAAATAAAATAAAATGAGGATTTTATTGTGGCAGCGACCGGGAAAATCAACCATCTTAATGTGCCCCCTTTTAAAGAATAAACCTGAAACAACACATCCCTGTGTGGACCACCGGCTCCAAACCCATTCACAGAAACCTCCAAACGGGGACAGCTGGTTTTGGTGGCGTGAGGCGGACCAATCAGAAGGCCTGATTGGCAGCAGACCCAGCCCGCCTGCCACCCCCCTGAGCCAAAACCAACCACCTCGAAGAGAGAGAGGAGAGACAGGATTCAGACGGTGGCAGTGGAAAGATTCAAGACTGGTATTCAAACAGTGTGGGACTGGGTTTAACAGTATTGGTTCAGCGTGCACGTGTGCACACACACACATACACTCAAAAGGAAAACAGCTGCAGGGACGAGTCCTCCCAGAAACAGTCACATAACAGAGAGGGTTTAGGGGGTTAGGGTGTGTAGTGGTGGACTTCTGTGTGTGTGTGTGTGTGTGTCATGTGTGGTTGGTGTGTGTGTTGTGTGGTGGTGTGTGTGGTGTGCGTGTGTGTGTGTGTGTTATGGTAGTCAGTGTGTGAGACTGAGTTTTAGGCCAGTCTGGTTTCCTTTTGCTCCTCAGAGTCTACTTGGTCTGATATGTGAGAACTAAAAATCTGCTCCGAAACAGAGCAGCTCCATCAACTCCACTACCCACAATTCCTTTTGCAGCAGCTTTGTCAGACAGACAGCCGGGTTAGCTGTAATGCTGTTATTTGAGAACTGATGTTAGGAAAAAACAAAAACCGCCACTTGCGGGCGTTTCTCCTCGTTTTGATGAGATGCTGCCAATAACCAACAACAACAACAAAACAGTCCAGACGAAGAAGGAGGAAGCAAAAAGAAAAAATAAAGATCCGAGAGCTGAAAGCAGCAATAATTATAATAATAATAATAATAATAATAATAATAATAATAATAATAATAATAGTACTATTGGAAC